CGGGAGGGGGCCTGGGCGGGCGGCTGGCCCGCGGCGGCGTTGGGGTGTGTCCTCTGTGCTGAGGGTGTCGGTTTGAGCTCGCAGCTGTGTGACTTCCGTGGTGTCTCTGACAATTTCCGGCAGAACTGTAATCTGGAAGGCTTTGGAAAAGGCTCGCTGAGTTTTAGAAACGTCCTTTCCTCCTTATCTGTCAGCTTATCTTCTAGTCTCGTTACAGGTAGTAGGGCGGCCCTGTACAGGAGTTAAGGTTATAAACGCATTTGTGGTGGACACAACAGCACACTTCTCTGTCGTTAGAGGTACTTTAATGGGTAAAGTGCTCTAGAACATTTAAATGGAACTATTTCAACAGGGATATCTTAAAAGAGAAGTTCTATTTCTCCCCCGTTTTAGCATAAAATCCTATTTCCCAGGGCCAAGAGCTAGTTAGGGTTATTTGTAAGAAAGCTGTGTATGGATGTGAGAACAGTGTGTGTCTCATAGGAAGTGTTTGGTGGCCCTCATGTTTACTATGCTGCATTAGGATCCTAGTAAGTTAAATTAAAGGTTGCAGGTATGCAACAGTCTCCGTGTACAGATATATCAGTAATTCCTATCTGTTCCTCTTTTCTTTCTAGCAGTCATGGTGAATTTCGCCCAAGCTGTGCGTGATCACTGGGTTCACATCCTTGTTCCCTTAGGATTTGTGATTGGATGCTATTTGGATAGAAGGAATGATGAAAAACTGTCAGCCTTCAGAAACAAGAGCTTACTATATAGAAGGTCTGCTTTATGATGCTATATATATATTCAGTTATTTTGCAAAGTGCTTCTCTATTTAAGTGTGAAAATAAAAATCAGTGATGCTGTCAAAATAGTTAAGGGAAGAAAGCCATAAAAATTTCAGCAAGTATTTATGAAGGGCTTTAGGTCACTAATGCCTCTGAAAATTGGGGCTTTAGGAGCCATCTTAGTCATGAAAGAAAGGGTGTGTAATTTTATCAGTTTGACATTTTAGTCAAAAGATGTTATTTAAAATAATTAATTGCACCAGTGAATCAAAAGTGTTGATGTTAGTAAATTTTGTCTGTGGAAGCAAGATAAACAAATGCAGACATCAGTGAGTGTTACGACACTGATTAGTATCTAAATAAACTTAGTAGGAGGGTGTGCTATGCAACTTAAAAAATATAAAGCAAACATTTAATATGCAAAGGATTAAGAAATTCATGTTGCTAGGAAAAAGTCCTTTTAAACAAATAAAACTTAACCATTTGTTTTCATTATACTTTGCCCTTTACAATGTAGTTAACTGAGCGAGAAAGTAAGTTTATGATATAATTAACACTGCTGTTACCTTAACTTAGTCTTCACTGTATTGGAATTGCTAGTGCCTAGCAGTGTTGCTTTTAAAACACACACAAATTTGCAATGCTCCTAATAAAATGGAATCTTGAAGGACTGAAGTAAAAAATATGACTTCAGACTTTACTAGAAAATGTACTTTCAAGGAAAACCACTGATACGGTTTGTGAAAAGTTTATAAATCAAGGCAGGGGAAAACGTGTAAAAGGGTGTCTCTAACAAAATAAATGCCTGCTAAGTAGGGGAACAGAGATACAAAATTTACTTTAATGTAAAAATAAATAACAAGTTAGGGAAGTATTTTCTGTAGGTGTGAATTTTCTTACTCTTCCTGTCCTTAAAGATTCTATGGTTGGGAGGAGGCAGTGTCTTGCATCTTATTGTTGTTTGTGAATTGAAAATTGAAATTTTTGGGGCTCCTAATTAGTTTTTAATTAACTAATTATTTGTTCAAAATGAAATAATTTGGAAAAAGAAGGTATTCTCACATAAGTAGAAAAGGCTTTGGCTCTCCAAAGCTTATTAATAATTTAACTGCTGTCAAGTTCTTAGTCATGAGATATGAAAACAATTTTTTGTCCTCTAAAACTTCATCAGAAACACAGTGCTTAAATTTTAATTTTCAACTTTTCAGTGGCTTATAGCAAACTTCTGTCTTAATTGTCACAGCACTTTTTAACTAAATATTTTTCTAAATTTGTGTTATTTTAAAATAATAACCAAGTCTTGAAAAATTAACACAACATCTTTAAATGTTTGTGTTGCCAACTGCTGTATCTTCACTGAAGGATATGATTATATACGCTAATTGGCTTCAGTTTACTGGCTGACTTCTCGTGGAGAATTTAGTTAAATTAACACATTGCCTCATCTGTATCACTTATGGTCATTCTGTATTAGACCATAGGGTTAATGAAACAACAGGAAAAAAACTATGCTGCATATTATGGGCTAGTAGTAGGAATGTTATGATCAGTTTGCAGGTGGATTTCTTTTTTAATCTGGTCTCACCTAAATTCTAAGTAAGAAAGTACGTTTATGACATAATCCACCCCACTGTTACATTAACACTTCTCTTACTGCAGTTGCTGGCAGTGTTGGGTGGGTACTTCAGCATATTGCAAAAATCCCCTCTGCTTTCACACTTAGTTCTCTAAAGTAATGAATTACATTATATAAAAGAAGCAGAATTTTTCCTTTTGGATCCCATTATGTAAAAGGTCTGTTAACTCCTTAGAGGTCAGCTCTTTTGTGCTTCCATTTAAATTAATGGTAGCTAAGGGGATTCAATCTACTGAATCTTTGGGAAAAAAAAAGAGGAAGCTTATCAGTATTGAAAGTTTTTTAACTGACAATATTAAATTTGTACTTAACTCTCACTATCAAGGTATTCGAGAATAATTAATTACATTTCTTAGTAATAATTCTACAAAAATTATCCTTGCTTTAGTCTCTTTCCTCTCTTTTTTTTTTTTTAATTTCCACACAGAGAGTTGAAGCCTGGTGAAGAAGTTACATGGAAGTAAAGGCTGCTGATGAAATTGAAAGTATTTTCATTTGATATATCATCTTATCTCAGAAGTTGAAAGAATGGGATAATGGTTTTTGTCTTAAGTGAATATGTAGAGCTGCAGAAAAGGACACCTGCAATTCATCAGCGCTAGTTTCAATTTCCAATCTTGCTTTTTGGAAGACGATTTAATTACATGACTAATATGTATCCATTAGTCCATAAGTGTTGAGAAATGTTCATCCCCAGAAGTCATACACTGGAGGGGGAAGGAAGAATTATCTAATAAATAAAAACTATGCAAAAACCATTTATGTTGTTATTGATCTGTTTGATGTGGAATTAATGTATTTTTAGCTAATTTATGAACTAGCCTTCAAAGCAGTACTTAACGTAGACCCGGAACAGGGTCGACAGTTGTTTTGGGTTTTTTGATGGAATCTGAACAAGGGGCAGCGAGCGGGTTCTGCAGCTTTGTGGCCGGTGCAAGAAGAGGAAGGTGGAAGGGAGGGGCAGCTGGTGAGAACGGGAAGGGACCTGGCACCGCCGGGCGTTTGCGGAACTGGGTGACGCAGGGAACTCGGCCCTTTCCGAGGGAACTGGGGGTGTTGTAGATCCAGGCTGGCAGATGAGCAGCGCAGGTGGCACGTGTGTGTGCAGCTCGCCGAGGCCGCGGCCCCGCTGCCCT